GCTAAATGAACTTCTTATCCTTTTGTAAATTTGCGGTTTTTTTATGTACTTGGGAAAGCATTGGGTTATTTATTTAAAGTACACGTTCGTTTTATTTTATCACGGAACGTAGTTGTTGACATGATACACATGATTAGCCAAGAACGGCAGATTTTGTGTATAAAATTAAGGAAATCCACTTTTCAATAACAATTGTATGTTTTAATTGCATTTTACCCGTGTTTCAGTCGGTTTTGAGATTAATTTTAGAGTTTTATTTCAAACAGTAGTTAGGAAAAATGTAAAAAAATATACTTGATCTAATACGTTCACATGTTAAAATTCAACCTGTGAGTGGTAAACACTTCAATCAATTTAGGTTCGCAATTTTCCCATTCCTTCAAATTCTATTTGTTTTCATACTGGGAGTCAACGGTTTGATTCTTATCTCTAAACTCAGTTAATTCCGACTTAAGTTTCCATTAACAAACTGTATAGGGTCTTATCTGGAAATGTTTGCTTATCTCATCCACCGTCAAAATAACACCTTCCAGCATTGTTGACATGACGTGATTAATTCTCGAAAATATTCTGCTGACCGTTACGTCATTTGTTGTGTCAACATTTTGATCTCGTTAGGTTTTGTGTAGCTAAAAAATATTTCGATGTGAAGTTCCTTGAATTCCTTATCGTATACGAAATCTTACATTGTTTATCTAATCTCAACTGGTTTAACACTAAATACAGATCGAAGAATGGTGTACTCGACCACCCAAGGAGTCCAATCTCGAATGACTCACAAGTTCGCTATCAGTTTTATCTGGTTCAGTGCCGTATAAATGTGCTAATCGATCGTTAATTGAATTTGTTGTTTTGAAGCTGATAGCGCTAGTTTGCAAGGGCAAATTAATTTGATATCCTCAATTTTATTGATCGGTCCCCTTGGCAGTTAAAATTCAGTTTTATTGTATTGTGAATAATATTTTAACAATAATATGTACTATTTTACTCTGTAAAGACGATTTTCTTCGGCGATCAAGATTTAAACGATCCAGTTTTTGTAAATTATTTATTGTTATTTCGATTCTTGGTTTTATTCGTGCCTTATTTTCTACATCTATACGCACATCTTGACATTGCTAATCTTAAAAGCCTAGAGTTTCACAAATAAACTAAATACAGAAAACATTGTTTTTCACCTATAGACTACATGTTTCCATAACGTAGTCCTTTCTAACCGTTCTGTAGTACATTTCTAAATCCCAACGCAAGTCGAATGTTTTATTTTATTTATCGATTTAAAGAAGATGGCAAACGTTAACGATATCAGACATGACACATTTCGTACGAAGATAACAACAGACAGGAAATTACCTATAAAAATATATCGATACCATACTAACAATCAACAATTGTTTTTCTCATCTCTCTGTGGCAAATACTTAATTTTTTTCCTGATTTCTGCTGCAGGCTGTTGAGCTTCTACCAATAGATTAATTAGACACGATTTTTAATAGTGAAATGCATTAGATTACTAGATAATTTGGGGACTTGCGATGGGTTCTGTTGCGAACCCCATATCCGTACAGAGGGAAGTGACAAGTGACATGTGCACTGATAAGCGTGCGCGAGCTACGGAATGTCAGTGATTGTTGATGTTGCCGCGATGTGTTGTTGCTGTGTGTCCGTGACGGATCTATGGCGGTGTCTGTGTCCGTTTAGCGCCGTTTTCAAGCCCAATCTGTCGCCACTCAGCGTCTCAGACCGTCTGGACTTGATTACCCAGGAATTCTCTGTTGGCCTCTCCACGCCGAAACTCGGGTAAGAAACGCCGAAACAGAATAATTATTTATTTTCTGAATAAATAGTTTACCACTCTTTCTAAATGGGCCACACTATCGTTGAACGAATAGGATTTGGTTGTTATGTAACGTGTGCATGTTTGTGTTCGATCTTTTTCCTTAATTAACTTATTTTTCTGAAATTCAGTAGAACGGACAGTAGGAGCTGAATGGCGTAAGATAGGACTTCAACGAAAACAAACTGTTTAATAGCGTGTGCGTTTTTCCAATAATTAATATTTACATTTTTATCTTCACTAAGAAAGAAGGGTAGTTTTCTTTTAAAGGTTGAAAGGGAAACTATTTATTTAAAATACAAAATAAACCAAATGTTTCCCATTTGTTGCCCAACATAGAAATAAAATGAAATTATTTCTTAGGTAGTTATGAAAAAAATACAAAAAGAAAACAGTACTCAAACACAGTAAACGGATTTATACAGTAACTGATTGTACGAGGAAATCAATTTTATTGCTGTATCAAGAACGCTTCATAAACTTTAAATTTTATAGGAGGTTATGCCATTTGAAACTAAATTAAGAAACTATTATTGAGATGAAATAATAACATTTTTACGTTTTTTACGACTGCGACTATTATACCGTTGTTGCTCTGCCACTTCACAAAAACACGTAAAAAGCGACTGAATTGATATTGTTTTAAAAGTAAAGTTTTTATCTAAGGTTATCAAAATAATATTTACACCATGAAAATGCAATTTATTTCCAATTAATTGCAGTGGTACTACTATATACCAGTTTCTTTGTTGAAAGAAAATATTACTTGGTACGAATTCTTTTAACAGTTTTGTGACAATTACACGGTAAAATTGACAGTTGCAAATTTTCGTTCGCTTTTATGCTTAATTAAATCGATCCGTTTGTGATGTAAAGTTAATAAATATAATAAAATGATAGTTTGGAATCTTTTCTTTCAATTGGTGCACAAATTGTTCTATTTTAACAATTTTTTACTTAACAATAACTAACATAACGGGACTACAGTTGTTGGGGTAAGTGGAAACGTGGTCAAATTATAGTCGGACTTATTGTGCAGTATAGGGGTCTTGTAAGATTCTACTTTGCGTAGATTGGTTGGTTGTTGGTTGTCCGTGTTATCTTTGCATTCCGACATCTCTGCCTCGTGACAACTGACAACAAGGGGTCTATTGTATCCTCACTCCGCCAAGCCACTACCAGGAATCACCTTATCACCAGTTGCTAGTCCTCTACCCAATGTTAACGATAATTCTAACTTACTCATTCCTGAAAATCACTATATAGTTTACCATATTATAGTGTGGTTCATGTTAATTTATCAACTTCTTTTTATAAAACTTGTTTGTTTCATATTTATTTTGTTGGGGAAATTTCCTGAATATTTCTATTCTGTGCTCTCTGGAAATTTCAAATAAATTATTTTTCCTATTATTTACATATGTTTAAAGTGCAAATCAATAATAATTAATTTATTTAAGCAGAACTGAAAGAAATGTCATTATATTTTTTCCATTTTAACCACCAAAATGAATTTAAGACCTTAATTGAATATGAAGTTATGTCTTTCTGTTAATATAGCCTAAAAGATGTTGATAACTAATTTTGTACTATATTTCAAGCATATCCCTCTTACAACTTATGAATTTATTACAAAAGCTCCTCATCATTTTTCAAAACTAGATTTTATATGAATTGCTGATTATGTTTTGTACAGTTTTAGTACAAATTTACAAGATATTGATTCTTAAAAAAAAAACAGATTATTGAGATTCCTATAACCTGTGAAAAGTTGAAATAGCTGATGATCACATAATGTTAGATTTATATTAATTCAAGATTTTCAATACAGAAAAACTCTTATTAGTTTATTTATTTATATTCATTCTAACAGACATCTCCATTTTTTATACCTGTGACAAAAATAATTATTACACTTTTGTAGTGGTTATTAGGTTATTTAGAAAAGTCTTACAATATCAAATTTTAAATCTTAAAGCAACGTTGTACAATTTGTCATTGAACCATTATTGAATATTAATCCTGTAATGCTAAGCTGTTCTGATTAACGAAACATTAACATTTGCCTGGTGCCTCCAGCCTAGTTAGGCACTGTGCTTGCTACTGGAATACCAAGCTTGTCCTTCTGTGTAAGGCATTCACTTCCTGTCATTGTAATATCATGATATCACTACTTAACATAAACATTCCTAGGTGCTGTTCATCTGCGTTGAGCAACTCATGAGATCGTGCTAGGCTGTGTTCTTTCAAGTTCAGTATGTTTTGTTAAAACTCAAATAGAGCTTAAAAAATGTTTTGACTGTGAAGGTTATACTAATTATTTTGATAAAACATTACTAAGTAACCCAGTAAAATTGTTTGATGGTTTGGGGATGAGCATTTTTTTGTTCAATTGAATTACTTAACGTTATAACCCTTGATTAAAATTTTTTTAACATCTGTGGCTCGTACATAAAACATGACGTGCAGAACAAAATTTGTGTTTCCGCTTCAAAAGATAGAGCCGTTTTTAGGATGTCTCGTTTCAGTTTGTGCAAGCTTCTCCTCAGGAAAAATAAAATATTAACATTCCCTTCGTTATTCATCCTCAGTTGCCTGCAATTCGTACATAAAAACTTAAAAAGTTTCTGACCACATCATCAACAAACACAATACCGATACATGCTTCGTAGCAGAAACCCTACCCAACACCCTAAACACAAGGCTAGCTTCTTCTAAAAGACAATTGTGATACAACAGAATCAAATCCTATATTGTGCTCCCTGAACTTATAGGTGAAACACGATACTGAGCGATAAGGGAGAAAAGTTAGAAGTTTTTTGCTAGAAAAGCCTATTGGATTTAGGTTTATAAATAATAAAATAGTGACCGGGGAAAATTGTACTACAATGTATTAACATAGTATTTTTTTATTTTACTCAATAAGCTTTTGGTTTTTTAGGTTAAGAATTTTGACGCTATCATACAGACTATTTCTGTGCAAAACTTATGTTTATTTGATTTATTTCAGAATCTTGATTATCACAGGAAGACACAATTTTTATTACAGGGTCGCTGTTTAGTTCGAGAGTAACCCAGTGACAGTTGTTGTTTGGACCTGATGTTAGTATACAGTTGTTGTTTGTTGTTGTTGTACTATGTGATGTGTTATGTTTTGTTACAGTGGTGTGGAGCCCAGAGTGAGTCTGTGTGAAGATCTCTCCCTGCCAGACAAGGAGAACCTTCTCATCATCAAGGAGGGACTTCTACACTGCAAGTTCAGCCTCTTAGATGGCAAGGTGGGTTTTTATTTTTTGTGTTTTCTACATCAGTGGTATATTTTACGTTTTATAAGGGAACTATCCAAACCCTGGTCTTGTTACTATCTAGTTTCAGGTTTGAGTTTTAAATCTTGAAACTCACCCATTAAAATTTAGACTTGGAAACTTTTCCAAAGTTTTGATTGTTTTGATATTTGATAATCAGTTTTTATACATCACAAGTTTCTTCCTTTTCAATTCTTAATTTTTTAGCAATTACTCATAATTTCTAAGGGGAAACTAACTCTGCAGTTGGTAAACGAAGCAAAATTGATAAAGCCGTTGAACAAGCTGAAAAATCAAATACTGAATGAACTTTTGAACTTGTTGCTCTTACTTAATAGTGTGGACAGTTATTCATTTCAGAGATCTTGTGTTGGTTGTGTTTATCATAGTGTGTATACAAAAGTTCTGCAATCATTCTTTACACACTGTTTAACAGTTAATTTATCTCTTGCAAACAATTGTTGCTTTAAGCGTGTAATCAACAAATTAGAGGTTAAACCATTTTCAAAGTTTACTAAAATCCCCTTTTTTCTCCATTCTTCATAGAGAAGTATGCAACTCATTGAAAGAAATTACTTTTTTATACGTAGATAGTTTAAATATACCAGACTTGTCTAATGCCGCATTAAAATCTAGATACCCCTTTGGTTGTTTTTTGTAAATTTTTTTTTCATTTTGTAAATTGAGCTGTACTAAAGCTCGTGCGTTTCCTGGTGAAGGCTGGGGGTATGTGGTTAGAGTGGCTCTGAACTGTGGGGTCTTGACTGGAATTAACCCAGCTAGATCCACATTTAATAAATATCGTGCTGATTCCACTACCCAATAGCACTCACGTAAACCCTGCCCAGCGTAAGCCAGCTTTGATAAGTCGTGAATAAATTCATTAACTACATTTTTATTTAATTTTAACTACCCCTCGCCATTGAAACTCGCCTGCAGCAACTTGCCCTAAACATGATATCGATAATTGTAAAGTTAATTTAGTTACATCAGTTAATTTATTGTTGGTTGAACCTGCCCTAATTTAGAAAAGATACCCCTTACCCCCTTTATCCCCCAAAAGATTACAATTAATTAGACATTATCGGTACTTTACCAACTGTTGACCAAGGATCAGGACCTCCTTCTTCTTCGGCGACGGATCTCAGACAAACCTGCTTGCCGGCGGTTGGTCTTTTCCGGTTGGAGCGCTAGTCTCGGTCCGACTAGAGCTGTCTGCCTGCCTTTGGATCAGCCGATGGGGTTGACTCTTACCTCAATATATATAATTATTGGCGGTGATGTGGGTTACTCCCACAGCTCTCCCCCGCTCCCCAAAAAAAGGAGCTGGAGCTAGCATGCTGGACCTGGAACTTCTGGTTAAAAGGGGGCAAAAAATTAGTGTTTGGGGTTTTGGTAGGCAAGGCTGCTGCCATGGCTACACTAGACTGCAGTTCCAGTGTTGGCAATTTACTTAGTTGGCGGGGCTTAAACAGTTTATTATAAATATACAAATAGGATAGTAATCCATAAACAAGTAAATAAATATCAATAACAAATAACAATGAATAAATAGTTTGAATTATAACAATGCGATGAAACATATAATTCTTAAAGGTGTATGATCCTGTAGGGCGCTTTTATGTAGGTTCGCTGCCCTAAGGTTAGCATGTTGATCGCATAACTGACTTAATCTACTTAAAACTACCGGTTTGAAGATGAGAGATGTGTTTGTGTAAGGATTGGTGTGTTAGTGTTGGTGAGCGTGTATCCTCAAACTATTTCGAAGTAGGTTGAGGGGAACAATCCGCTCTTCCCCACGGTCATTAGCCCCTGAACTGCGCTAAAAGATGAAAAAAGTTAAAAAAAAAACTAGGCACAGTTCACGGTCTAAAAGAAAATAAAATAATTTTAAATATGCGCAAAAAATGAATTTACTCTAAAACCAATGACGTGGAGGAGAGCTGCAGCTCAGGTTGTAATGGGCGATCGCTAAACCCTGCCGCCTTCTGAAGGGCGTGCCTACGCGAAACACGACCTTAGTCACAGTTGGCGACAGGTGCAGGCTCCATCACAACCCTGTGTGTGTATGTGTGTGCTACGGAGTGAAAAATTGTACAGTATGGACTAACCTAACTTAATCTAATATCACCAGCTGAGAGGGTTCATGAGATGCGTGAGTTTTTGATTTAACGGGTGGGTGGGGGTTTAATTGATGTGGTCGTTCGTGGAAGTCCCTGATTCGGGTGAAAATAGTGCTTGAGCTGAGAGACATGAGCTCGCCTCACAACCTTTCCTGTCTTTGGATCCATTAAAATTACTGTGACAGGTGACGTGTATGCCTGTATAATAGCGGGTTGTGACCAGAGTGGAAGCAATTTAGCATTGATTTTGTTGATTGCCTTGCTCTGGTGGTGTAGTCTAAACATGACCCAATCGCCTATCTTGAAGGATGGGGGGTGTCTTCCCTGATTGTATTGTCTTTCGCGGGCTTCTCGTGCTTTAGTTAAATTTTGGTGCGCTTGTACCCATTTGTCCCTGGTTGTTTGGGGGTTTGTGTTGTAATTTAGTAATTGGTCCAAATCCCAGTTTAGTTCTAATGGATGATTGATCTGAAAACTTAAAAAAAGGTCTGCTGGGGAATATCCGGTGCTTGAGTGTTTGGCTGAATTAAAGGCTATCTGGAAAAGATGGATATTTTGGTCCCAATCAGTTTGATGATCTGAGTGATAAATTCGAATGGCTATTTTGATATTCTTGTTCACTCGCTCGGCATGGCTTGGGTTTGGATAGTATGGAGTGGTGGTTATGTGGCGGATCCCTAACTGAAGACACATGTCTGAAAATTCTTTAGATGTAAAAGACGAAACGTTGTCTGACACCAGATATTTTGGGAAGCCGAAGTAAGCAAAGAGGCCTGAGCGTAGAAGTGAAACTGTGGTTGCTGACGTTGTGTTCTTGGCCGGAAGAAAAATTGCAAATTTTGAAAATGAATCGACAATTGTGAGAAGGTATTTATTTCCTTTCTTGGAACGTGGTAATGGACCAATGTGATCTATGAAAATTTTTTCAAATGGTCTTGTCGGTACTTCGGAGGATAAGAGTCCTGCTCTAGAATTTAGGGCTTGCTTAGATCGTTGGCAGAAGGTGCAGGTTTTGACCATGTCGGTTATGGTTTCCTTAAGGGTTGGGGACCAAAAATGCTGCTCGATTCGAGACCAAGTCTTTTTGATGCCTAAGTGAGCTGTGGTTGGGGCTAGATGATAATATTTAAAGAGAAGTGGTATTAATCGGTCTGGAATAACTACTCTGGGTTTGGTTTGGCTTGGAAATTTGTGTGTCAGTACGTTGTCTACCATTGAATAGTTTGGTGGTGGTTTTTTTCCTTTCAATGACTTAATGATTTGTTGTGTAACTGTGTCTTCTGACTGATGTTCCCTAATATCTTTAAAAGCGTCTGGTATTTTAAATAAAACATTGATTTGATGTGGGTGATCTGATGTGGGTGAACAAGCTACGGGTGATGTGATTGGGGGTGGACAAGCTACGGGTGATGTGATTGAGGGTGGGCCTTCCTCGAACATGCGAGAGAGACAGTCGGCTACTACGTTGTCTTTTCCCTTAATATGATAAACTGTGAATTGGAATGAATTGATTAGTGTGATCCAACGTGCGATCTTGCCTACCTGTCTAGGATGGTTCAAAAGCCAGGTTAGTGCGTTAGAATCTGTATATAACTCAAAATGTCTGTGTTCTAAATATACACGGAATTTCTCGAGGAAGTGAGCTATGGCAAGCGCCTCTAACTCGAAGGCACTATAATTTTTCTCGTGATGTTTGTGGGACGTGAACCATATACCACTGGCAGAAGTGCATCGTCGTACCTTTGGGACACTATTCCACTAATGCTAGTTCTACTGGCATCTGTATGCAAGACAAAGGGCAGATCAAAATTTGGCATCTTAAGGACTGTAGCCGAAGTTAAAGATTGTTTCAATGAATTGAAGGCCGTTTCCTGCTCTTTTCCCCAAGTGAACTTTTCACCCTTCTTTTTGAGTTTGTTTAAAGGAGCTGATATTTCGGAGTAATTGGGGATAAATTTAGAATAGAAGGCGGTCATACCTAAAAATCTGGACAACTGTTTGAGTGTTCTAGGGGTTGGAAATTCATCTATGGGTTTGGTTCTAGTGTTGCTAATTGATAGGGAGTTGTTTTTGATTTGATGACCTAAAAATTCGATTTCCTGCGAAGCTATCACCATTTTTCCGGGATTGACTGTGAGACCTGCTCGTTCGAGGCGACGAAGTACCTCTTGGATGTGCTGAACATGTTGTTCAAAGGAGTCTGAATAGATTACTAAATCATCGAAAAAAGAAAAAACATATTTAAATTTGATATCACCTAATACTTTGTTCATCAAATCGTTGAGTACCATAGAACCGTTGGCCAGTCCAAAAGGGACATAATTAAATTCATATTGGGCCCAAGGGACCACAAAAGCTGTCAAGGGCTTTGACTCTTCATCGAGGGGTATTTGGTTGTACGCTGAATTGAGGTCTAAAAGAGTAAACCATTTGGCCTTACCTAAATACTGGAATGCCGTTTCAACTGTGGGGGTAGGGACTGCTTCTAGGGATAACCCATTATTTAAGGCTTTGTAATTGACGACCATTCTCGTTTTCCCTCCTTTTTTGGGAACTGTAAATGCGGGAGCTGCGAAAGGTGAAGTGGATTCCCTAATAACGTTGTTTTTTAAAAGCTCGTCGATATGTTGTCTTAAAATTTCTGCTTTTGGTGGTGAAAATTGGTATGGGCGGGACTTGGCTTGATGACCTGGTTTCATGTTTATATGGTAATTGATGAGATTGGTTCTTCCTAATTTCTTGGTTACCGTATTGGGGAACTGCTCAATTAAATTCTTAAGTTTGCGAATTTGATCGTTTGTGAGATTGTCACCAAAGGTTGGGCCTATTGGTTGTTGTTTGATTTCCTGT